TTCCAAGTGGAACCACGCCCGATAGCACAATAACAAGATCGCGTAACACCTGCTTCTTGATGTAACTTATCACGACCTGCAATGAGGGAATGTCATTAGCTTAAACCTAAGCTTGAAAAAAGGAGGGGGGCTTCGGGATGAATAGCTACTCAAGTTTTCCGCAAGCGACATTCACGGCTCGGCTGCATCATATATTTTTTTTATTTCTGCGCTTTGACCGGTGCCGAATCATGCGGTGTCACTATTTTTTGCTTCATTTCATTGTTCTCCTAAAGGGTAGCGTGTATCGGCCCAGCCTTGAAAAAGTCATATTGAAAGCAACCGGCCGGCTATTAATGTTACGCTCTCACTACTGGAACATTCACACAAAGCCGGAATAGATTTTCTTTGAGAAGTAAATTTGGTTTAAAATATTAACAAAAACCATGAGATTTTGCTGAACAGAAACGAAAAATTTCACCTTGACATCTCTGATCTCTTTCGTTCTGTCATAGTGTTGATAAAAATTGGCGTGCACATCGGTCAGCATCCTTTCAACGTGTTCCAAAGTTCGGTCGTGCTCCGCATCATCCTCTGGGAGAAATAGGTTTACATTCTTTGAGTGAAAGGATTCCAACTTCTGATACCTATGTCAACAGCGGGAAGCAAGCCTTCTTTTGTTCCTCCAGCAGGCGCATTGATATCGCCCACCTCTTTGAAAAACCTGTACGGTTTCACCTGCAACCACGATTTGTTACTTCAGAAAGCTCACGAGATTTTTTTTGAAAATATATCAGTGATAAGCCCTGTTATGAAACTATTTTGACAACAGTCACCTGAATGAGAGCCTCGGAAAATTGCCACACATCAGCGCGATCATCAATAATTGCAATCAGTTGGTCTCCACAAGGAAACAGCGCCCTCAAATTTCGAGTTTTGTGTTGTGCCGAAAACAGCTCGTCCCTTGATAAGATTCGTTGAGCGAATAATACCTTGCTAGGATCAAGAATCTGAAACAAAGAAAGATCAGGTGGTCGCTACATTCTGCCGAGAAATATTCTATTCAGGGTTGAAGCATTTAGGCGAGGATTCCTGTTACTTGAAAAGACCCGAATATCACGATAATAGGAATCGCACGTCTCGAACATAATGAATATGGATATTGAGTGACACATTAGCTTTTAACATCGGATTGGTAATCCTTAAGAACAATCTACTCCAGCGCCATGCAGTGCGCTCGATTGTTTGACAAAGCTGTCAATTTCACACTAATGATTGATCTTAGTAAATGCTTATGCAATTCCTTTGGAAAGCGTGGAAAAAAAGGTGTAGTTTTAGGCGAAGAAGCTGTTCAGAACCTATCTCAAAAATTAGGGGCCAAAAGGTGCGAATGAAAAATACTGGTATGAGTAGAACAACACAATACTTTCGTCAGCACTTTTGCTTTGAGGGCGTGAGGCAACAAAACTTGGTCACCGATGGAAGTGAAGACTTGGTAAATGATGCAGTGGTGAGGAAAAAAAATTGGGAGGGGGAGGGGAGGGACTTTCACCACCGCGGCATATTCGTGCCCTCTCAGCGACATACTGAAACTCGCAGATTTCAGCTTTTCACGTATTTCAAGTTTCCCACCCCTCCTCCTTAACTAACTGTCCACACACCCCTCCACTCCTGGTTTCGTACTGAAAGACGTGCTAAAGGGAAACGGCTTAGAACCTGCAAGGAGAGACTTTTCCTCTCCGTTGATTTCCGCTCTGGGCGAGTCACATCAGTACCGACGTCACCAACGTGAACGAGCTGCCCTTCTGCTGAAACGGCTATGTTCCGACAGCGAAAGATCAGCAGCAGGGGTGGCCATCAATGAGCAGATAGAGGAGCGAGGCGTCGAAAGGGAAGAGGAAGACCTTGCCAGGGAGCTACAGAAGATTCGTTTACCCGTGGAAGCACCACGTTTCGCTTCCTTGAGGGCACATAGTTCTATAGTGGTGGACCCTTTTGCCCTTCTTCAACACTCAGCCTCACAAGCTTTATTTAATCACGTATACGACTCACTAAAGTTTTCACCTAACCTTTCCCTGCTGAGGTTGAAAAACATGTTTTGCTGTTCTATTTAGTCACCTGCTCTTTTCGATAGGCTTCGTTGAACAAATATTTTTGCATAGATGCTTGAATTAAATCCTTTCATATTGGGACTCGATGCCGCACCTATGGGCATCATTCATAAACTCTGCACTCTCGAGAACCTACGTAGCATCACTTGAAGTACCAAAGCTTTGGAAGTATCCTTACCTCCGCAATTTTATGGGCATATTGTCGTTGTCCATAGGTTACGATGTGCATTTCGTATAAAGCACTCATGTGTTCCAGGAACTCATGCGTATACGGCCTTAACTTTGTGTGGTACTTCGTGCCGAACATCTTATAAGTATGGATATCGCCATGCTAAACAAATTGTTATGCTGCTTCCAACAGATTTCCCAACCTGCTCCATTTAATCTTACCTTTTCAGGATCAACTTTGAAAGGACGATTTGTCGTGTGGATTATTGTTTGATCAAGATCTACCAGAAGTACCAATTTACGCGCATTCAAGACATTCTTCAAGTCCGCTGAACCAAGTTCTTCCGCCAACTGCAACAGAAAACACGTAGATCCTAGGATGTGCCGCAGAAACGTACCCTTCCAAGACTAACGTCATCAGAAACGATGAGCTCTGGCACGTGATGAATCATTGAGACATTCGCTATGGCAGCCTCTTTTCGTTGACCAGCTCTACCATCTTTCCTAGAAAGAAATAGAAAAAGTAATTACGTAGTGCATTGCTGTTTTTTGGATGAAGCAAGGTATTGACGAGCGAATATACAATCAGGAACAGTAAAAGAATGGAAACAAAGCTGCAAAATCAAAGGTGCGACCGTTGCAAAGTGGGTCCTGCGACGAACCTCCCCAACCTTTCCCCATCCCGTCCCATCCCCAACATTCAGCATACGTCCCAAAATAATATCCGCTACATGAAGCAGTCGAAAAGGTAGTGAAGAGGTGAAAATGCTATAAAAAGAAACTCACTCTCTGAGGTCACGCAACACGTCGCACAACTGATAACATGCATGGTGACAGGCTCGATACGAGCGAATTAGATGTCTAGCACAGAATACAAAACAATATGAGAAATTTCAATGCTTTAAAGGATACGTGAAAGTCATAGTTGATAGAATCAACTAACAAGGGAAGGATGGTAGGTCGAAGTGGCCGTATAAAATGAAATGTATACCTCCTGATGCGTCTCCAGACGCTGATTCCAAATCTGCCTTCCAAATCTGCTAAACGACTCTCCGAACGGAGTTATGAAGCGTAATAGCTCAGTGGTGATGGTCCGGGGTGGCAGGTAAAAGCTCGTAGGATCGGTTCCTTTGCAAGTTTGTTGCTTTGCTTTTGTCCGCAACACTTCTAGAGACAAAAGCAAAGCAACCAATTTGCAAAGGAACCGATCCTACGAGCTTTTACCTGCCACCCGGACCATCACCACTGAGCTATTACGCTTCATAACTCCGTTCGGAGAGTCGTTTAGCAGATTTGGAATCAGCGTCTGGAGACGCATCAGGAGGTATACATTTCATTTCGAACGGCCACTTCGACCTACCATCCTTCCCTCCGTAATAACTTCGTACTGTGTGTTTGTTATGGAAGACCGACGAACCTGCACCATTTCTGCACCTTTCTTCGCTGCACGATCAAACGTCACCACTCCTTCAATGGGCGCTTTAAGCTTCACCATTTCACCAGATGGTGTTTGATATTCGAGAACCACCTGAAACACACTTTCATCAAAGAAACGATACCGTAGTCTTTGCTTTCAATACCGGTCGTAATCAGGGATAAAGCAGAGCACAAGTTTTCCACGACAAGAAGTGTGCCACAAGACTAAATTCATGCGAGAATCGCTCACGAATGATCCCTCCCTCGTCACAAAACCATGGACAAAGTGAACCGCGAGTGAACAAACAATACGATTCACTCGTGATGAGCCACGATCCACTTTTTACCTTCCGATGCTCGATGGTGTCAATTGTGCCATCAATTTTTATGTTTCACATCACTACTTCACAAGCACACAAACCCACTGTAGTTTCCCGAAGCGTGGTTTACCCTGATGTTGCGAAGCATTGCCCGACGGGATGATTTGCACCTATTGCCTTTGAAATGAGAGGTT